TGAAACAAATTATAGATTATAACTTAACAGATTATAAATTATAATTTTAATTTAAAGTTGTTAATTTATTTAGTGTAATTATTAGATTATAGATTTAAATTATTGAATAGTGTTTATTAAATAAGTTGTGGAATAGATTTTCAATTAATTTTTATTTTTTGTTATTTACTACTTGTCTGTATTTCTCATAAAAAATAATAATAATAATTTATAATCCATTTGGGTCTTTTTTTATTTTTAAAAAAATAAAAACTAAAAAATTTTAAGAGTATAACCATAAATTAACATGTCCACAGCAGACACTGATAATAAAAAATAAGGGGTGAGCAACTTCTCAGAATCAATTTTTTTGAATTAAAATAAATTGTTAAAATCAGAAACTGTTTGAAATAAGTTTAACCAAACAGTTCAAAATAGTTTTTCCAAAGTTAGAAGTTATAAGTTCACTCAAAAAAGTTAAAACAAACACCCCCGTAGTCATTAATTAAGATTAGGGTAAACTACTTACACCTCTCTTGAGGTTTAGCTAATTTATAGATTCCTCTTGAGGTTTCAGAAATTACATCTTACCCCTGAGGTTTATATTCGCATAACAATTTAACTCTTATCGTTAACTAAACATTAAGAATGGTTAGAACATCCACAATGGATGCATTAGTGAGTGTGTTAGCGTCACGTGTTAGTTTTTGGTCAGCCCAAAACACTGTTGGGTGCTGCACTAGGTGTATTAGTGTTGTGTGTTAGTGTCAGCTGTTAACTTGTGTGTTAATTGTGGCCAGTGTTTTAGCTAGCGAAGAGAGAGAGAGAGAGAGACATGTGCCTAGAGAAGTCCTCCCGAACGTTCGGCCGGAAGCCCCCCTGGACGTCCCGCCATAAGTCCCCCCGAACGTCCCGCTGGAAGTCCATCCTAGACGTCTGAATCCTTCAAGAAAAGGGGGAAAAAAAAATTTGGGTCTGACTGGTTGACCGGCCAGTCAACTATTTTTTTTTTTTTTTTACTTGTTCGAAATTTTTTTTTTGGGCTTAAAATTTAATTTTGGGCTTGAATTTTTTTATTAAATTAAATTATTTATTTATTTTATTTATTATATATACATATATATATTCTTAACACATCATTTAACACATTTATTGTACCACCACTCACTCTTTAAAAATAACAAACTCTTAACACACATTTTTAGACCTCACTTTTATCACTTTTTGTTATACAACACACATCTTAACACACTTTTTTAGCCATTCCACTGTGGATGCTCTTAGCTAACATCACCAAAATATAAAATTGATGGACTATATTGCCCTTGTTGAAATTCATTTGATAAATCAACAAAATTTACAAAAGAATTACGTTAGATGGAAAAAAATAAAAATAAAATAAAATAAAATAAAATTTTGGGAACCATGTTTGATTTGTTGTTTAGAAAAAAAAATTTAGAATTTAAAAAAATAAAATAAAAACTAATTTAATAAAAATAAATATGAAAAAATATATTTAATTTGCAAAAATTATTTCTAACCACTAAAAAGATAAAATCATATAAAAATAATTATTATTTTTTATGTTTTATTTCTTAACCAAATTAATTTTATTTTTTTAAAAATAAATTAAAAATAAATTTTTAAAAATCAAACCAAACGTATTCTAAATTTTTTTTGACAAATCATTTCTTGTGTTTTTAACTTATTTAATTACTAAGTCGTAGCTGTGCCTGAAGGCATAGTATAAATAAATTAAGTGAGGAAAAAATATAAAAAAAAATAAACAAATAAATAAGAAGGAAAATAAAAAATAAAAAAATAAAAAGGAAAGAGGAATAAATGTGGGCAGGAGAGAAAGGGAGAGGGAGAGAGCATGGGTGTACAAAAAGAAGGGGAAAAGAGGGTGGGTGGGTGAAAATTAAAGACATCTTAACCCTTAATGAATGTAGGAATTAATCTTAACTCTTGAAACAAAATGAATCTCTAAGACATTTTAACACATTTTCAAAAAACCCTCTTGCTATATTATATAGATTTGTTAATTTTATGATATTTTTACCATTTGACATTATAACATATGAGAGTTTTAGAAACTAATTTTTTTTATCTCTAAAAGTAAAAATTTTGTTACAAAAGATATTTAGGAACTAATTTCTATCGTCGTGAGGATAGTCGTTAAAAAGTCGCTCTAAAAAGTCAAAAATAAGACTTTTAGCGATAAAATTTTGAAAATATTAATAAAAAATACACTTTTAGGGACAAAATAATTTGGTCTCAAAATGATTTATTTTTTGAGACAAATAATTTGATACAAAAAATATAATAATTAATCACTAATGTTCAATTTTCATTGCTAAAAATAATAACGACAATTTTCGCAACAAAAAGTATTTGGTCCCCTAAAAAAAAAAATTGTCCGTAAATTTTGGTCTCTAAAATCTTAATTTTTTGTAGTGTGATAAGTGTTTTTCCATTTTAATTTTGCATTTCATAACTTATTTAAAAATGATAATTTAACTAAACTTTAGGGGGAATCTGTAATTTAGCTAAATCTCGAGGGGGTGTAGGTAATTTGCCCTTATTTGTCAAAAGGGCATTTTACTCAATTTATGATATCCGTTAATCGCGTTAATTGCAATGGAACGAGATGTAATTTTTGAAACATCAGGAGAGAATCTATGATTTTGTTAAACCTCCAGGGAGGTGTAGATAATTTGCCCTTAAGATTAATGTCTGCGAAACATGTGTGAACCTTTTATTTGTTATTTGAAATTATTTAAATAAATATATTTATTAATTTTTTATAAAAAAATATAAAATATGTGTTAAGTCTGAAATGATACAATAGAGAGGTGACATGATTCAAATAAGATGATTGTGACTTAAATAGAATAATGTGCTAAAATAATATGTACTATTTTAACACATGTCAAACACTCTCCTTAAAATTTGTTTGATATTTTTTAAATAAGTACACTTATTTATTCTCATACTGCATTATTATCAGTAAATTTATAAATATATAAATATATAGGTCTCAAACATTTTTCCTTAATTTTAGAGTTGTAAATCTAATATATATAAAGGAACTACCAATATATATATATATATATTCTAAAATCGATTACTTTTTTAATATTTTCAAATATTTATTAGTAGTAATTTTCTATGTCATGCTTTAATTCGGGACTCGGAAGGACACCCACCCCCTTCTGAAACCTTTGGTTGATGTCTTTCCTGGGTTATTCCTCCATGTGGTTTGGCCTAATTCCAAAACTAAATAATTAATCTAATTCTAAACGCACATATGAAATTTTGCACTTCAATCACACTCACTCGATTGAAACAAATTATGAACTTGGTTATTTTAAGTCTGACTCTCAATAGAATCCATATCATAAAAGTAAAAAATAAAAGAAGAGACCTTTAAATCATTCTCACAAACCCAATTGATGTGAGTCTATGGGGTGTTTGGCAAGTAGAATTTTAGTTTTTTTTTTTTTTTGTCTAAAATCTATAAAAATCTATTTAAAAAAAAAAAAAGATAAAATAAGTTTAAATAATTTATAAGACAAAATATCATATCAAATACATAATCATTTCATTTTTTTTCTTACAAATATCACATTCAACTATAAAAAAAAAAAAATCTATCTTCTCAAACATAAAAATTTTAATCTGCTAAAACAGCCAAAAAGTAAAATAGCCTACTAAAATAATAAATTTTCAAAAGTATTTCACTTATAGTAAAACAAAAAATTTAAAAATGTTCATTTTATTTATTTATTTATTTATTTATTCCATTTTGAGGATATTTAGATTAGACGACCTCTAAAATTTGTTGAAAAAAAAAAGGTTTTAATAATTAAAAAAAAAACAAAAGAACAAAAAAAATAATTTAAAAAGGTCTCTGAAGTCTACTTTTTCATCTTTAGCCTCCGTTTGGGAAGTGGGTTGGCTTTTTGGCTTTTTGGCTATTTTAGCCTGGGCTATTTTAGCCTGGTTTGGGAAGGGCTTTTTGGCTTTTTGGCTTTTTTGACTTTTTTTGTGAGAGAGGATTGTAATGATTATGGGTTGGATTTGATGTTTTGTTTTTTGTGGCTAAAATAGCCTATTTTGTTTTTTGTGGCTATTTTAGCCAAAAAAGCCTGGCTTGCCAAACGAAGGCTAATACATTTTCTAATGAAATTTTCTATTTTTTACTTTCAGGGTCTATCTAAAAAACAAAAGGAAGATAAATTACAAATATACCTTTTAAAATTTGCTTAAAACACAAATTGTCTCATGTAGTTTGAAAAATTACAAATATTTCCCTGCCAAAATTTTTTATTTAACAAAATTAATTGAAAAAATAAAATTTCTAGCTGTTCACCTATACAATAATAAAATTATCTGAATTATTAATTGAAATAAAATTTTAACATTATTAAAAAACTGTTGATTAACTTGATGATATATTGAGAAAAGAACCTATTTGTTATTAGAAACCTTAGAAAACATAATATAATTTTTAAAATCACAAGAAATAATTTGTAATTTAAGTAAAACTCAGACGGTGTGTTTGTAATTTACCCTAAAAAAAAAATACACACACAAATAATTAGAAAAAGAAGAACCCACAAAAACAAATAAACTACCTTAAAGCTGGAGGCCGAATGAAAGCTTTAGGGCCTTCAAAAAGTCAAAAAATGAATACATTTGAGCTAAAGGCAAACATTACTACTGATCATCAGCAGACTGTCAAGAGCTTTGCTGTTGTTGAAGCCTCCAAAATGAGAACCACTTTCATTGTTCTTAATGGCATAACTTTAAAAGATACAAAGTTAGCCAATTATTCATCAAAGTAAACTATAAATAAACCAAAAACTATGAATATTCATTATTTTAAAATAGTGCATACTACAATAGTACCAGCCCACATTATTTGCAATTTTTTTTTTGTAAGAACAGTATTTCCTATCCTCATCCTTGAGGGGCGAAGAAATACACAATACACATACTTCTCAACCACTGTCGAATTCAAGAAAACACAATCTTGATGATCCATCACTGTCAATAGTTGAAGCAAAATAAGAAACATTAAAAAATGGCTCTCCAGTGAAAATAATTGCACTGGTCATAAATGGTTTTACCAATCATTAACATCTTGTAAAGGTACAACAAGTGCCACAGGACAAACTGATCAAAAATGTGTTCCTATGTGTAACTTTTCTAAGGTTTCATGAAGTTCACCTCATGATATGATGATTGGTCTCTCAAACTCGGACATAACAAATTACATATTGTATGCCTCTAAGGCGCTGACTGTTGTAACATAGATAATCTTCATATTGGAGCTAGCCTATTTCTTCCACAGGCTGGCAGATAAAATAACCAGACTAACTGCAAATTGCAATGAACCAGATTTACTATGAAACTTCCTCAACTTGAGGTATCTGCATAAAGAAGTACTGCACAAAACATACTCTGTTAGTCATTTGACCCCAAAAAAATAAAAATAACAATAAAAAATTTGAACAAGCAAAAAATGTTATGATGCTTCTTTTGAATTACCTCGAATGATTTGCCTGATCTCTCAAATTCAAGCATGCACAGAGCAACTTCACAGCTCTGGGAGACAAGAGGCTCAGGATCCTTGGCAAATTCCTCAAGAAGTGCGACACATTGGTCATCTATGAAAATAACAATATGAAGCTTAGAAAGAGAACCTTAAATTAGTATGACAATGGAAAGCTGCAGGTCTGATATAGTATATGTTTACGGCCACTACAATTTACCACCACAACTAGGGCATGTAGATGAAAGGGAAACCTCACCAACTCTAGTTCTAAATACTAACAGCTTTATGAAAATAACATCCGCACAGATTCTGATAATTGCCTTCGTATATTTATAGGACCAAGAAATTACAGAATACAATCCAACCAGACCAATATCCATCTCCAATAAGTATCATCATCCATTACTTCACAATCCATATAATAAGTAAATCTGCACCTCAGAACAACCAAAACAAAACAAAAAAATCAAAAGTTCTATAGAAATGCTTTCCTGAAAAGTCTCTTGAATGTTCAAAATTTGGTTCAATCATACCCAAGAACCAACCTGTCAAAAGTCCTCTAGTTTAGCTCATTCCAAATGGATCATCACATCAAACACAAATGCGCATACACAAGCACGCGCGTGCACACACACAGTCTTTTTACTTCTCTTCCCACTTTAGCCCTCCCACAACTTTAATATATTGAACAAGAAGATAATTAACTGATTCCCCATCTTACTTTCACATTCACCAATACACATGAATTTGTCACGTACCAGTCAGGTTGTTATTGACAAGTGTTTATTCCACCATCCACACAAATAAGGCAACTTTAGGCGGCACCTATGACACCCACTATTCATATGTTCTAGCAGCCAAGAAAAATCTTCTATAATTACATGTCATGCTTGTTATTACTATATAGCAAACACAATATACTTTTTTTTTTTGCCTTTTTTTACTGATACTGTTTTCAAGAACTTAACAAACCTGCAATAGAACCAAGAGCTTCTGCAGCTTCATGTCTAACCATTGGGTGCTCATTTATATCCCCAATTATCCTGGAAAGTGCATCTGAAGCAGTCTCGTTTTGCAATTGGCCCAAGACATAAGCAACCTGCCAGAAAGGCAAAACAAAACCATATTCAAAGGTGGGGTGTTGAGCAACACAAGCCAGATGGAAAGTGAGTAGGCGTTTTGATAAACATTTTTTTTTAACCAACCTTTACCATAATCAATTTGGATACCGTTGTGAACATGATTAACAACCACATAAATGCCATATATACAACTGCCACCATGTATACAACTTATCTATCCAATATAATGCTGAAAAATATGTAGCAAATTATAACTGATAAAAGCAATTACATGTAGAACAGTTTTTCTCAACAAGAAAATCAGGAAGAAGGTCAACAAAGAAAGGAATGTCCAAAAATAAAATAAAACCAGTCCCAAAGCCTTGCCACTCCCATTTACCTACAAACACTTGAAACTAACTGGCAACCCTAACATGAAAAGTGAATTGGATTTGGGTTTTCTAAAGTTAAAAATAAAGAGATAACTTGGTTTCATTTCCTCAACAAAACAAAATGAAAAAAAAACTACAACCTCCAAACCACTTCTCATATTAGTATTAACAATCTTTGGTCATGTTTGATTCACAACATTAATAGTGAGGTATTAATAATCCTATCAAATTAGTGTGGTATTAACTATCCCACCCCTACCCCATTACTAATAATCCTACAAATTTGTTGGATTAATTATCCATTGGATTAATAATCCTAAACCAAAATGTCAAAACAAACATAGGATGATTGGGCCTACGGATTAATAATCCCAATCCCATGCTTTAATCCTTCCAATCAAACATGCCCTTTAAGTCATGCTGCTTTTTCTTATTCTCCCCAATCTATTGACCCATTACTGCTTCCAAGTTCCATTGCATCCCAAGTAAGACATCATCAAACGTGAACTTAAATTATTGTGATGATATATTTTTTTTCCGTTAACTCAAACTCCCTCCTCTTATTGAAGTAATGCCTGCAGCCCACTCAAAACAAACTTTCTTCATTTTATTCTTGTTTCTTGCTATTATTTTGCAATAAATGAAAAAAGTTACACAATTATATAATGCTTAATTAAGCATAAAAGAAAATAAATCAAATGAATTTTAACCAACCTCATGCCGCAAGAGAGCACTCTTTGCACCTAACGAATCAATTATAGCAGTGATAGCTTTGTCTCCCCCATGGTTCCTAAGAGCAAAAAGAGCTGCATAGCGCTCGTACATGCTCTTTTCTTCATCCAACAGAATTTCCCTGAGAAACCAGTGAAATTCGTGAAATTCAGTCAACCAATCAGTAAATTCTACTCGGTAAACCTTGCTAGCTGATCTATTAATTATACTAGACAAACCTTAATTGATCAACAGAGGAACAAGAAGCAGGTGCAGCAGGGTCAACTGACAAAAAGCGTGATGATTCCACCATAGATGATCCATCATGAAACTGGACATTCTTCAATTCCTCAATTCGACTAAGAGCCAATTCACATGTTTCACGAACCTCCTGAGCTGGATCGGAAACCAAACTGTTCTTTAAAAGAGGAATATTGGTCTCTAAACCAATTGCACCAAGAGCTTCTGCAGCCTAGGCATTCATAAGGCATACAAAAACAAGCAAAAATTATTGCAGAAAGGGCATTCTAAAATATAAAACAACAAAAGATAACAGCATATTACCTCATGGCGAACAATGGGATGCAAAGAATGATCATTGAGAACCGCTTCTAAAGCAGGGATAGCATTACTATCTTGCATCTGACCCAATGCAAATGCAGCCTCATGAGCCAGCAGATTTGAGGAATCTCTTGTTGCTGCAAGAGGAAGCAAATCATGAGTACTTGTAGTGTTATTTAAACAATTTATTAATCAATCTCTTTTCTAAAAACTTAATGTACTTCAGCAAAAATCATGCACACTACAGAAAAATAAACAAACAGGTGAAACACATACGATAAAAGAAACAGTTCATAAATAGGTGTCAATCCAAGTACATAATGGTTTTATTTGAAAAATTCAAGTGGCTACAAAAACAACTAGACGTTAAAGAATAGGAGTAAGATTATCCGGAGGATAATTGTTACTTTACATATTTTGGGCCACGCATGTGTGAAATTCATCAGGAAATTGATTAGACCAACAGGTTGATTTTAATTATTGCACTGCAATATGGATTTGCAAAACATACAACACACAAACCGCCCTTATAAAATGTACATACCGAGAAAAGTTCGAGTTTATTCACAAACAAAAAATATTATAAGGTTAATAGGCGCCAACAACCCTTACCGAGTAGAAAAGACAATTTTTACATTTATCTGGAAACCAACTGACCGCAAATTTTAGCAACAAAACACAATCCGTCATACTTTTGCTGAACAAATTCAACAATTAGAAATTACGAATATATTTCACAGTGGAAAAAATAAAAACTAAAAGTCAGCATTGTGTGGATTATGTTTCCTTCCCAATTGGGTTGAAATTATTTAGATACACAAAGAAAATAAATAAAACCAAACAACTAAAGCAATGCGCATATTCAAAATTTGAGTCTTGAACCAGTTCAAGATGCAAGTTAATTATAATTGTTCCATTCAAACTTCATAAAACTCACTGCACTAATCACCGCCAGATGATGGAACTTTAATGCTGTGTTTGTGTTTGGTTTGAGGATTTAGGAAGGGATTTGGAAAAGGAAAGGAAAAAAGTTTGTGAAACCAGGTGAAAGTGAAAATATAGATATATTTTATTCATATTTCACCTCACTTCTCCCTTTGTCTTCTCAAATCCCCCAACCACACAGCGTAAGAAGCATAATTTACAGAACTGAAATTTAACTTTTCCAAAAATCCCACTTAGAAACGCAAAAGCATATAATCGAACACTCAAATCTTCTATGTGTGTATAGAGAGAAAGAGAGATGACCGGCAATGAGGGCGTTGCGAGGGCAAGGGCCACGGAGGTTACGAAGAGAGAAGAGGGCTCTGAAGCGCTCCGAAATGGGTTGGTTTTGGTCCAACAATCGATCGCAGAGAAACTTCTCCGTCTCAAGAGATGCCGTGAATGAACTCTCCATTTAAGACTTCTTCGCAACAATCAAATTGATCTACTAGTAAATTTGTCTCTTTTTTAGAATCGAAATCTGATATTTCCTCACCAAACCAAACCAAACCAAACCCTAGCTTCAAAGATTACAGGAGAAGATGGGTTTTACAATATCCTCTTCGACGATGATCATCAGATAGAATGAACAACGCTCCTTACATACATACTCTGCAATGGCGTATAAAAAACGCAGAATGAGAACTGATTGAGAGCCCGAATTCCTCCGCCCCGAATGCCCCCCTAAACCACGAAACGACGTCGTTTTAATTAATGAGAACTGATTGAGAGCCCGAATTCCTCCGCCCCGAATGCCCCCCTAAACCACGAAACGACGTCGTTTTAATTGGTTTTTTTTTGGCAGCAGATGAAGGAAGACGAAGACGGAGGAGGAGGAGGAGGAGACTGAAGGAGGCCTAAAAAATGGGCTGGAGGTGGAGGCGGAGGCGGGGGGCGCTGTGATCGGCGATGGCAGAGGCGACGAGCAGAGGCATGGCAGAGGCGACGGAGGCGGAGGCGCAGCGATCGGCGACGGATCGGAGACGACGGCGACCCCTCTCCCTCTCCCTCTCTCTCTCTCTTCCTTCGCTTCGACCTTCCTCTGCGTCAAAAATGGTAGGAAAAAAAAAATTCGAGCCACATTCGAGCCAGGCATTTCGAGCCCTCAAACATTTTCCAACGCGGAATAAAGCCTGCGTTTGTATCTCATTTGAATTTGTGATTCTAATAAATAAATAAACAACAATGCTAAGTAGCTCAAATTTTTGTGGCTCAAATGGCTCAAATCGACGTCGTTTTGACAGATTTTGAGTGTAAAACGATGTCGTTTTGACAGATTTGAGCCATTTAAGCCACAAAATTTTGAGCTACCAAACATTTTCCATAAATAAATTATAATTTATAATTAAACAAATAATTTAAAAATAAATTCAATTCAATCAAAAATTATTTTTAAAATTTATAACGGAATACACAACTCAAAATTTAATTCAAAACGTAAAATTAAACTCTTTTCAAAATTTTATTTTTAAAAAAATTCAAAAAAAATATTTTTTATTTTACTTTTTAAAATTATGATTTGAGGGTAAAATGATGTTTTAAGTTATGAGTTTTGAAAAAAAAAAATTATTTAATTATAAGTTTTGAAAAGAATTTTGAGTTTTTTTAAGTTTTGAGTTGTATTTTAAAAAATTTTGAATTTATTTTTTTAAATATTTAAATATTTTCTTAATTTTATTTTGTTAAGGTAAATATTTTATAGTTTAAATAGTTATTTATTTATTTTAATATGCACTGTATTTCATAATTTGTGTGCTGTATTTTTTAAAAAAATTTAAATATTTAAAAATCTAAATTTTTTATTTTAATATATAATTTTTATTTTAAATATTTTATTTTATAAATATACTTTTAAATTTTTTTACTTTTTTTTTATAATTTAAAAAAAAAATTAGGTCCCCATTTTAACCTTATTAGTCCCATATACTTTTCTTTTTATTCCATAAGGTCCATTTTTTTAATTTTATATTTTTACTTGGACTATTATGCCCTTATATATATATATATATATTGTGTCAATAAACATATATTGTGGTATATATTGTGGTATATATTGTGTCAATAAACATACCACGTTGCCTATTTTTTCATTGATTCAGTTTTTGTAGTTTCTATCTTCACGTTTTTTATTATCATTCTAATTCAAATGTATACGTCTCTATTTTGTATGCTCGTTTCAAGGCTTTTATGTGCTAGGGTTTCATTGTTATTGTTGTAGTATGGTTCGGTAATTTTTGAGTGAAGACGACGAATTAGACAGTATTCGGTTGTCACATTTTCTGGAGTATAACTAGTTCAAATTAGTTGTTTTCGGGTTACAAGACGAGTGTAGGATTGCATAATTAAGGTTAGTATCATTTTGGTTATGAATATGTTCAGTTTTTGTTTTGATTTGTATGATGAATCAGATGCTCTATTTTTTAATTGATATGGATCGGATGCTCTGTTTGTTTAATTATATGCATTTTACGTGGTTCTGTGGAGAGGAGGTCATTCAAATTATGTGAAAAATGTGGATGTTCTCATTTTACTTTGGTGTTTGCTTAATGAGGTTCTGTGTGGGTGATATAATTCAGAGTATATGTATCAATGTGAATGTTCACATCTTGTTAATGTAAAGTTATGGAGGGTTGCTTGTATGTTGTGTATTGTCACCTTAATATGGTGGTGTCATTTTGATATTGTAAAATGTTTTATATTGTGTAAAGATGGTGGTGATAGTTTTTATTATGGATTTAGCACTTGAACTGTACACATAGGCATTTAATTTTGCTTAATGTGAATTTTCATATCATTTGGATTATTGTTGACTATTGTATTGTTGTGTTTTTACAGAAGATGGATACCTTTATGATGTTGGTGTACACATATGGTTGCAGTACAACTATAATAAATATTGCTCGCGCATTGTGTTAGTCGCGTTTGGTAGAGTGTTTGTGTGAAAAATAGGGTGAGCTGTCTGCTAGTTCTATTTCATGGTTCTGTTGGCTACCTGAGATTAATAGGTGTGATTTGGACAATGAGGAAGAATTTCAGAACATGTTATTGCTTGCTAAATCAATGGAGGTACAATATGGAGAAGTTGTCGTTGAGTTGAAAAGTGATATTGGTCAGTCAAGTAACTTTGGGTCGCTGCGTATGGGGGGTGAGGAAGAAATTGATGCATTACGGAGATTTTGCCACCAGAAGGAAAAGGTGTTGTTATCAGCCCCTTGGGCAAATGGTATTACGCATGCGGAACAACGGTTTGTTGGAGGTGCACAAGAATTTCGTGATATTTTATGTAAGTATGCCATCCAATGTGGGTTTCAGTTTACGTATATCAAGAACGAGACAACAAGGGTTACTGTGGTGTGTATGATACGCGAGGAAAGAGGCTGCTTGTGGGCTATGCATTGTAGAGTACAACGAGCAAATGATTTTTTCTACATCAAGAGGTTTAGTGATGTGCATAGTTGTGGTACGGATATTCAAATATCGAAGAATCCAAGAGTTAGTTATGATTTGGTGTCAAGTACCATATCTGAAATTGTAAGGGATAAGCCGTTGACTTGGCTGTGTGAGGTGGTGACTATTTTAAAGATGGATTATGGACTAGATGTGAGTTACCACATGGTATGGTTGGGCGTGGAGAAAACAAAGGCCGTTATTCATGGAGATCACTCATCATTGTTTGACCAGCTGCGGTGGTATTGGGATGCTGTGATGCGTTACAGTCTAGGGAGTTATGTCAATATTGACTATGATGCGAGAAGTCAACAGTTTTGTCGTTTCTTTGCATCATTCGCTACGTGTATTTCTGGGTTCAACTCTTGTCGGCCTTTATTATTCCTGGATAAAACATTCCTTAAAGGAAAGTACAAAGGTCAGCTACTTGAGGCAATGGCGAAAGATGGAAATAATGGTTAGTATTTTTTTTCAGCTGTCTATTCATGTAAATATTCACATTGAGCGGCATAGTGTGAACATATGACAAATGCTTACACAGTGTGTTCCACATTTACACTGGTGTCAATGTTTACATCAATACACATTGATGTGAACAACAACATGATATGACTGATTGAGAAATTAACAGTAATGTGAACATTCACATTAGTATACACTGATGTGAATGTTCAAACCAGTGTCTACTAATGTGAGTTTATCCATTAATGGACAGTAATGTAAATTTTCACATTATTGATGTTTACAAAATCAAATCCAAAAACAACAATAGTAATAGGACAATGTAGATATAAACATTCACATGACCTGTTTCCTTTATATTGTTTTCTATTCATTTTGGAATAGTGTAAACAGTTGTTTAATGGCGATGTGTTGTAGGTCCATTTCCTATTGCATTTGCGATTGTTGATTTAGAAACCACGACCAATTGGTCGTGGTTCTTGCACGAACATGGGAAGATTATTGATGGTAAGCGCCAGATTACTTTTATTTCGGATTGTAATCTTGGTCTGTTAAAAGTTATGCCAAAGGTGTTTCTATCGGCTCACCACGATTATTGCTTACAACACTTGAAGAGTAATTTAAGAGACCAGATTAAAGGAATTGATAATGGATTTAGGGATCACTTAGTTAGTAGTTTGGGTGACTGTGCTTACAAGCCAACTGTGTTAGAGTTCCATGAAAAGCTTGCCAAATTAAAAGATGAGAGTAAGCAACGAGCACATAATTTTTTCAAGCAATTGGCATCTGAGCACTGGGCCAAATTCATACTTCAATTAATAGTTGTTTCCTAATGTATTCCATTTGTTAAGTTTAGAATGGTAGTGATGTGAATTTTCAGTTATGTTTTGTGGCAATGTGAAATTTTATATTCAATTTCGAAGAAATTGAATTCAGTATTGTACAATGTTTGTGATGTTATGCAGAGGCATGCGCTATGGAGAGATGACATCCAATGCGGCGGAGTCATTTAATAATTGCACGCAATCTTCATATCACTCAAATGGTGGACACAATTCGTATTCAGTTGATACGGCAAATGTCTGCATGGCGTGACCAAGCAAACAAGATGAATGAGCTTATTTGTCCTACATTCGAAACAATGATTCTTGATTCGTTCAACGACAGCAGGTCTTGGCAAGTTAGCAAAGCCAAGAGGATGTGTTTGAAGTTCATTTGATACCATCTGTTATAGCTGATATTGCAAGGCGTACGTGTTCTTGCTTCAAATGGCAAATCAACGGATTCCCACGTGACTATGTTGTGATTGCTATTCAGAAGAGCCGCTACAATCTCAATGATTGTGTGGAACATTACTTTTATGTAGAGACATACCATGCAGCCTATTCGGGTGCCATATTCCCTATACCATCGGTGGAAAAGCTGCATTTTGATCCCACGGACTTCACTATATACCCACTAATTGTGAAAAGACCACCCGGAAGGCCGAAAAAAAATAGAATCCTATCAAGTGGTGAGAAACTGAAGCAAATAAGGTATGGGAGATGTGATAAGTTGGGAAGCCATAATCGAAAATCATGCAAGGAGCCGATATAGGGTGTACATTTTTCATTTCAACATTGTGTTTTACATGGGATTCTTATATTGATTTTTGAAATAAGATTGTGTTGTGTTGGCAAACATTGTGTTGCAATAAGATTACGTTGTGTTGGCAAACATAATAATGGTTTTGCAAACTTAGTATTTGATTTGTGTTTTTTCTTTTTCTTTTTGGGTACCAAACTGATATTTTGTTGATGTTTTAATGATGAATACATGATATGGATATTCATACTTGCGTAAAAAAAATCATATTATAGAACAATCGGGTTCAAACAATTGCAAAATTATGCACATCACAACACAATAGTATTTCATAAGTGAAGATGAACATTCACATCAGTGGTGTAACTGTGAACCTTCACATCTGTAAAACATTAGTGCATATGAACATTCACATTAGTGGTACAGTGTACATTTTTCATTTCAACATTGTGTTTTACATGGGATTCTTATATTGATTTTTGAAATAAGATTGTGTTGTGTTGGAAAACATTGTGTTGCAATAAGATTACGTTGTGTTGGCAAACATAATAATGGTTTGGCAAACTTAGTATTTGATTTGTGTTTTTTCTTTTTCTTTTTGGGTACCAAACTGATATTTTGTTGATATTTTAATGATGAATACATGATATGGATATTCATATTTGCGTAAAAAAAATCATATTATAGAACAATCGGGTTCAAACAATTGCAAAATTATGCACATCACAACACAACAGTATTTCATAAGTGAAGATGAACATTCACATCAGTGGTGTAACTGTGAACCTTCACATCTGTAAAACATTAGTGCATATGAACATTCACATTAGTGGTACAGATGTGAATGTTCACATTTGGCAGAGACGAATAACATTCACAACTATTATGAATAAGAACAAATGTGAATATTTACACCTGTGTATGTTATCCATAATGGTGTCACGTAGACAATGTGTACATTCCTGCACAAAATATGTGTATTATAGAACAACCGGGTTCAAACAATCGCACAAATTATGCACATCACAACACAACAGTATATCATAAGTGAATATGAACATTCACATCAGTGGTGTAACTGTGAACATTCACATCTGTAAAACATTAGTGCATATGAACATTCACATTAGTGGTACAAATGTGAATGTTCACATTTGGCAAAGATTAATAACATTCACAACTGTTATGAATAAGAACAAATGTGAATATTCACACATGTGTATGTTATCCATAATGATGTCATGTAGACAATGTATACATTCATGCACAAAATATGTGTATTATAGAACAATCGGGTTCAAACAATCGCATAAATTATGCACATCACAACACAGCAGTATATCATAAGTGAATATGAACATTCACATCAGTGGTGTAACTGTGAACATTGACATCTGTAAAACATTAGTGCATATGAACATTCGCATTAGTGGTACAAATGTGAATGTTCACATTTGGCAGAGATGAATAACATTCACAATTGTTATGAATAAGAACAAATGTGAATATTCACACATGTGTATGTTATCCGTAATGATGTCATGTAAACAATGTGTACATTTATGCACAAAATATGTGTATTATAGAATAATCGGGTTCAAACAATTGCATAAAATAACATAACAACACCAAAGGTAGATCAAAATTCACAAGTGACTTTTTCCAATTAATAGATGTTGTATCACTGATTTACAATTAATTGTTGTGTCAAAATGTCAAAACAATTGATATTAACATTCATATCGAGTGTTGGTTAGTTTGTAGGTGGACACCCCCCACCTATAGGTTTTAATGACGCTTTGTTTTCTTATGATTCAAAAAACTATGTACTAATAAGTCTCGTAGTCCACACTATTCAGAACTAGTGAGGCTACCAACAATTTCTTCATGGTATATGTGTGCCCGCATGATGTAACATACTGCAGGTTCGCAATCCACCCTGTAAATACAAAATGGTTTTGATTAGCACTTGACATGTATGTTTGCATAATGGTTATAGAGGATTTGTAAAAAATGTAGTGAGGCTTACAAGTCGTCGCCCTGTCGAGGACAGATATCAACTGATATGATTGGTTGTGACAGATATTGGCCTGCTAACTTAGTGCATAGTGGTGATGACTCGCCAATAATGCGCACAACGTTCTCGATGTACTTCCTCTGTGTAGGGAGTTTCACATTAGGCACCAACGAATATATGTGTGTGTACATTCATTTTTGGAATTTAACTCATGACAATAATTCATATTTGTGTACAATAAGAGCCACTTACTACTTCCTGGGCTTGGTCGATATGCGGGTCATGTATGCCTGTCATTAGGTGCAATGAGTTGTAATACCTCCACAAATTGTGTTTAACATCATACACAACTATCGTCCAATAGAAGTCATGGTGCAATGGAAATAGTAGGTATCTCTCTCTTTGGTAGTTTTTCACATGTGCATCAATGTGTTTACTTCTTTTGCGATGATGGTACTCTCGTATCACTTTCTGTACACATTGGACAAATAATTAATGGACCGTGAAGTTTCAAATTCACATTAGCAAAAATGAAATGATAGATTTTACCAAACACATGCTCGTGAAGATGAATGACGCTTCATCTGAAGTTGGGTTGACCACCTCTTATTGTTCATGTAATAGTTCGGCATATGCATCTATGAGCTACACAAACATAGGGTCGTATTATATTATTTGTGGTGGGTGAACAATGTGTGTTTGTGGCTATGGGTGTGTGTGTGTGTGTATCTGTGTGTATATGCATGAAGAGTGAATCATCTTCGTAATGGCATACATTGATGTGTATCGATTCCTCTTTGATAAGGTTCACAATGTCATCAAAATATACGTATGTAGACTTCAAGTCTCCTTTCCACACAAGCAGCCTGTGCATTTTAAATAAACCAATGTGAATCTTAACATTGCACAGTTTTGAACAAATCAAATAAATAAGCATAGTGGTGAATATTCACAATTATGGAATGTGAATGTTGACATTAGGTGTTTGTACGGTCACTTACTCATCGCCTCTACTCTTTTGTAAAGCGTGGACCTTTTGCTTGTCTTGTTTGGACATCATGCTCTAGACTTTGAACTTGTTGGTCAAGGTCAATAATTTTTTTGGGTGCTTCGTTAGTGGGTGTTTGTCCACATCTTCAACCATTTCGACTGTATGGGGCTATTTTTGGCCAGGTAAATCTGCGTACTGGAAGTCAGGCAAGCGATACTCTTTCTTATCTTTCTCTTTTATACGCTTCACTCTAGAAGGTGGCTTGAGATTGTGTTGTATTGGGGCAGGGGATTGCTTCTGCGCTTCGGCCTGTGTGACAATGTGGACTGATTGGTCATCGTAAAGGTTCTGAAGAATTGTTTTCTCGCATTCTAAGTCGATGACCAGCTGCGTTAAGCGCTTAATTTTTTCATCCTTCTATTCCATGTACTTTTTTATTTCAATATTCATGTTGGGTGGGCTTGACTGGTTGAACAATTTATGTTCAAGATCAGCTATGACTCTTGCCCTTAACTTCCATGAGAATTGAAGGTGTTTGTACTTTGTTTCCCACTGCCTTATGATGTCCTAAGCCTTCCGATTTTCTTTGACAAGCATATCGATGATGTCGGGTTGGTATGTGTTTGCTATGACAATAGCTCTCTCATCATGTGGGCTGCTAAACGGAATGTGAATGTCCTCATTACTGTCATTTAGCTCATCTCCATCCCCAGAAAATTGGAAGTTGCTGCCTTTGTGTTGTTCTTCCTTGATGTTAAAGAGGTTGGAAATGTGGTGGCTGGTTCATAAATTCCGAGCTCCACCTTCAATGTTGTACGTTTGAACTTTTGTAATTCTGTTGGGGTTGCAAAGAGTTCGCCGGCATTAACCTGAAATGAAAAAGTTATGTTACTTAACGTATATATTTGGGTAGTGTCGTAATGTGAATGCTTTGATCAATAGTTGAAGGTCATACCTCATTAAAACCAATATCAGCCAAAGAGGTGGTTTTCATCTTCTTTTGTAAAGCAGTTAGATCCCACTTGACACAGCGAGGAATGACATTGGGCTTGTGAGGTTGTAGGATAGTTGTGTGCTCACACAACCAATACTTCAACAAAACAACAAAGATATATGTTATTTAGCATTTGCATAGTAATGTCAACATATGTGAACATTAATAACAGTGGCATTGTTGTGAACATTCAAAGTAGCATATCATGAATGAATATGAACATTCACATCAATGGTACAGATGTGAA